AAAAAGTATCTTAAAAAGACGATTACTTCTCAGGTATAGTGATGGCTGTCATTACAAGGTGCCAATCAATTCCAAGCACTGACATTTTCTTCATTCACTTGACCCACAGCCACCCCAAAGGGAGGACACTGTCAACTCTTCTCATTTACAGACGAGGACATTTTCCAGAGAAGTTGAGATGCTCGGCCCAGGTCTCTGAGCCGGTAAAAGGTAGAATGACAGAGAGCCCCACTGTTGTCTGCTCTAATGCTCAGGGCCCATGCGGAGGTTCCCATCCACAGAGCGCTGAGCCACTGTGAATGTTCACAGTGTGTGAGACTGGACATCACCTGGTGGGCACAGAGGTGAAGGGGACGTGTGAGCTCTGTGTCTGCAGGCAGAGAAGCCTTGGCGACACCACCTCAGTCCGGGTCTGTCTAGTGCCACCGCCAGGCACAGACAGGGCTGAATACTCAGGGTGGAGTCACCTTGCCACACACAGGCGAGACTCCAGTGTGTGGGTCACACCACCGCCGGAGTCTGTCTGGCACCTGGTTCCCTCAGCTCTCAGAAAGGCTGCGTGGGTGATGAGATGGGTCCCATCGCCTCTAATGCTGTACCAACCACCACAACTGATACAATTTTCTACTCCAGTCTATAATCAAATATAAGAGCATAAAATGAATAATTCTTAGCATAGCATTTTCGTTACATGATTTGCTACTGTAAACTACATTGATAATGTTTCAGAATCCGTTTTAGGAAGCCATGTGCTGTACACTGTGTATGGGTTCAGGTGCAGCGGGATCCAGAAGTCCAGATGTTATCAGAATCTGGGATCCCTCTGTGCTGTTCCTGAGGCAGCCTCCCCTTGGAGCAGGTGTGTCACCTCACAGGGCAGAAGATGTGCTTCCTGTCCCACCGCTCACACCCAAGTCCCACTGATGGCCCTGGCTTGAGTCAGGCGCCCATCCTGAGCGGATGGCCGTGCTGTGCTCGGAAACATAGGCTACACTTGAGCCGGGGATTTAGCTCAGTGGTTTCGCCACCTGCTGCGCAAGCACAAGGACCCGAGTTCCATCCCTGGTACAAAAAAAAACATAGGCTACACCTCAGTTCTGGAGCTGGGAGAGCAGGGAGTGAGGTGATCAGAAGACTGGGCTGGGTGCTGTGCTGGGTGCTGGGAGAGTGAGAACAAGGTGGTGAGGGTGGTGCCCTTGGTGGGTACAGGGGAAGGGACCTGGCTGCACATGACCCCCAGAGTAAAGGGACCACAGAGATGCCGCCTGTCCTTGCTATGATCAGAGAAACAGCTGCCCTCACACGCACAGTGGGGCCTGCCAGGAGACAGCCCTTTCCTTTCATCCTCCCTGGCCTGGAGGGTAAACCACCCTCCTGACCTGGTAGGCAACTCCTACCTACTATGTAGCGCGCACATATTCCTTGTCTCTCCCCACCAAGCATCGATGCTGGGATTCTAGGCACAGTTTTAAACCACCAGGAAAGCGGGACAGAGGGACCGAGGCCAGGAAGACCGAGTTTCCCCACATCTAGATGTCCCCCACTGGCTGGAGGCCAGGCGTCCTGGTCAGGTGGCCTCTGCCTGAGGGTCCACGTCTGAAGCTGCTCAACATTCAAACTCGTCGTCACTAGTGAGCACTGACCCCTATTGAGAAGTGAACAGTTTGTTCCCTCTTGCCCTGTGCACCTGTACCCCAGACCTCGGGGGCAGGACACTCATGGGAATAAGACAGAGGAAGAAGAAGGGTGCATGTCATCCGGGTTCTCTGGAGAAGCAGAACCCCAGGACACGCACATGGAGGAGTGGGCAGTGCAGGGATGGCATGGGGACAGCCCACAGCCTGCAGGCTGGGAAGCTGCCCAGCACCACACTAGAGTTCAGTCGTGCCCCCATGGCATCCCTCCTTCTCAGGAGGTGAGTCTGCTCTAGCAGGCTGTCACCTAATGGGACGGGGCCCACCTCGCACAAGAGCAGTCAGTTTAACTCAGTCCACTGACTTGACTGTCAGCTTCATCCCCAATCCCTTCCCAGCAACAACCAGATCTTTGACCAAGTACCCAAGCACGGTGGCCCAGCCAAGCTGACATGAAGTTAAGGATCACAGGGGCTTGAGAAGGGGACCTGAGAAGTGATGAGAGTGCCCAGCACAGACCTCAGAGCACAGAGCCTGGGTAAAGCCATCTGCCTGCCTTCACATCCTTCCCCGGAGTACCTGCGGAACATCGTGCTGCAGGGACAGGAGCGACCAGCGTGGCCCTCTTTGCTGCTCCTCCTGCACATGTTTGTCCCTCCATTCCAAAGCTACCACGGAGACACCAACACCCAGGTCATTTTAAAGTGGCCAAGCCCGGTGGGGTGAGGCACACCCGTAATCCTAGCACTCAGGAGGCTGAGGCAAGAGGATCATTATGCAGTCAAGGCCACCCTGGGCTACATAGCAAGACACTTTCTCAAAAAACAAACAAGAAAGCCAGTACTATAATAACATTATTTTGTAATTTGACCACAACCTCATCTCATTGCCTGAACACAGGCGACCCCAGCAGTCAGATGTGCAGACCCCAAGCCATGATGTTACCCGCAGCTCCTCACTCCCAAGTTGGCAGGAATCCTAGGCCCAGAGTCTCCCACTGAGCCCCCGGCTGTGCTCCAGGACACAAAGCAGGGGTGGCTCTGGACACAAGTACAAGCATTAGGTTTTCTGTCAGACATGAAGTTTTTAAACTTTGTTCTTTAATTTTGTAAATCTCAAGACAATAGATCCAAATAGAAAAAATAAGTTACTTTGATTTTGGTATTTATTTGCATCAACATCGACATTAAAAGCCTGAAACAGAAAAAGAAAGATCAGAAGAAACCGTGCAATTGTGCTTCAGGTAAAAACCGGCTAAATGAATCCCAGGGTAGCAGCGTCCTTACCACACTGTGGCTCGGTGACAGAGGACCCCACATCAGCCACCCTGCGGCCAGCACCTGGCACCTGAATGAGTCAGGGGTCACAGAGCTGAGGGGTCAGTTGAGCTGAGGGATGAGCTCACTCTGCCAGCTCCCGACCCCATGTCCACTCGCAACCCGGGCTCCACTCGGTCACCTGCTCTAGATGGCGGGTGCCTGCCTGGGTCTCAGCACTCGGGAGGCCACACAGTGAGGGCCATCTCAAAACAACAGCAACACAATGATCTCCACCTTCATGTCACCAACCCCGCGCCCTCTGCGTGTGTGCCTTCCCCACAGCGTGACTGAATCAGGCCCTGGAACACTGTCTCCACCTTCACACAGCTTTCCAGATCTTCATAGTGAGGACTGGGCTCACTTTTGTTCCTCCTCCCTCTATTTTTTTCTTTCTGAAACACCATTTCATTATGTAGTCCAAGCTGGCCTTGAACTCACTATGTAGCCCAGGCTGGCCTCAAACTCACAATGATCCTCCTGCTTCAGCTTCCTGAGTGCTGGGTTCCCAGGTGTGTATCACCACACCTGGCTCACTTTTGTTCTTTCTGTGCTATTGAGCAAGATCCAAATGGAGCTCATTTGACTGACTGAAGGATTAGGAAGTACAGTGGACCCTTGACTTACGAACTCAATTCATTTGCAAGGGCTGGTCTTAACTCAAGTTGGTCAGGTTCCTCCTCTACACAGCCTGGAAAGTCTCCTATATACAGACAGATCTCAGTGTCCTTGGAGAGACATAGGCCTTGGATTTCTCAGTTAACCCCACAAAGGAAAGGATGTTGTAATGTTTCTTCCAGAACTCCAGATTTAAGGATTAAATCTCTATCTGAGACCACCTGGAAGCACAAGCAACCAGTATGTGGCTGCTATTCAGGTTGTTACTCAAGACTTTGTTTGTAAGTTAAAACTAAAATTTCAGTAGTAACCAAGTTGTTCATATGTCAGGCCCATCATAACGCAAGGGTCCACTGTACAAAGAGGAGAAATTCTGACTTAGGCTGTTGGTGTTATAACTTAATGATTACAAATGCCCCTTCCTGGCCAGGTGTGGCTGCAGCTCCATGCTAGTCATCTCCTCCATTTATATCCCAAGAGGTGCATGCAAGAGTTGGTCTTGGTTGTCCCCAAAGGCCCCCGTGGTAAAGGCTTGGTCACCAGCCTTCGGCATTTGGGCAGCGTTGTAGCCTTGAGAGATGAGGCCAGGGAAGGACCAATGTCACTGACCGGACACAGCAGTCCTCTCTTCCAGTCTTAGCCCCTGTGAGGTGTGTACTTTGCTTTCATGCCATAAGAGTGCCCTCACCATGGTCCCATCCACAGATCCCGGCACCCCTGGCCTGGAGCCTCCAAACTCTGAGCTGAACACCCTCCTCCTCAGCCTACTCTTTTGACGGCCCGCACCCCTGACTCAGTGAGTCCAGCAGGTCGCCAGGGCTACCCACCAGGGAGAAGCGGAGTCCAGGCTGGATTCTTCCTGACCTGGGTCCCATCCCTGAGCCCCTCAGGTCCACAGCCACTGGCCCTGAAGCAGGCTCAGATGTGGGTGTCCTTCCTGGGTTGCAGATGATGGTTACACCCCCAGTTCTCATATTGCTTAAACGGTGACCCCAAGGGCCACTGGGAAGGCAGTCTTCTGACTGCTTCCCTGGCCTCCAGGACCTAGCTGGGAGGACAAGCACCATGACTGACCAGCAGCTTTGGGTCCCCCTAGTCACTTGCTGCAGGGAGGGTGGTGGCCTTGAGTCCCTGCACCGGAGAAGACCTGGCTTGGAGACACCAGAGACTTTGAGGGGGTGGGGCGGGAGGACCGGAAAGGACAAGGAGGGCGTGGCTGGCTGCCCAGTCTGGCAGGATGAGTGAGGTTTGCCGTCATCTGGAGAAGCTTGGGCTGATGAACACTGTCTGGAATCTCCCGCCACCTCTCATCCTCACCGCAGCCCAGCGGCTGAGGCCCACCTGCAGATGCAAACCACTGTGCCAGGCTAGGTGACTCACCCACACCCCTTTAAAGCCACACCACCTCGGGGCGGGGGCCACCAGAGCAGCCATGGCACGCAGGCTCTGCTGCTCTCGCTGGGCACTGCTCTACTGGCTGGCGGCATCCGTGGCACAAGGTAAGGGCTTTGTTTTCATTCGAGTGTGGGTCTGCTAATTAACAAGGTGCAGGCAAGACAAGCTGCCTCCGTGATTACATATTCCCATCCCAGGAAACCTATCCACTCGCCTCGAGCAGCCTCTGGGTTCTGTGGTCTGAGGACCGGAGTCCTGATCTCAGACACACAAGCTCTCTGACATTGTCAGAGTACTTACTGCTTTGGGGTTGTCAGGACCAAGTGAGCAACCGTGGGAAGCTCTCCCCACTGGGAATGCCTGACAAATCCTGGATATTACAGTTTCAAGGCTGACACCCGCCACCTTGAAGTCCACCTTCTTCTGTCACCCACAGCATGCGACAGCTGTTTGCTCACTGCTCTTGAGCTCTAATTAATCACAGCAGCGAGCTAGTGCTTGGTGCTGCCCAGGAAGCACGGGTTTCCCTCTTTAGGAGGACAGAAGACTAATTTCTCCACTGTTTCTGTTCTCTCTCCCTTCCCCACCACCAAATCTCTCTGTGGCGTGAGCCTTGGAATTGGTTTTTGAAGCCTTGAGGAAAGGAAAGAAAAGGATAAAGAAGGATGGAGAAAGGGGAACGAAAGGCAAGGAGATCCTGGGAGCTTCAGCCTAGTATTTCTCACTGTTCACCTTGGTTCCCAAACTGGATGCTATCGGAGTAGAGACTTGCGGGGCAGCCCTGGGGGTTTCTCAGCCCTGACTCCCTCCCCTCTCCCACAGAGCTGAGGACAGGCTGGACAGGGAATGTCAGAGCTGGCTGTGGGGCACCCAGAGCCCCCCACCAATGCTGGCCAACAGGGGACAAGGGGCACAGGTTACAGCCAACACCTGCCCAAGACAGCCCCAGTTGTCACCTGCTAACAGGTGACATCTAGGCGCAGGACCTTAAACAACTAGCTACTGCCTCCTCCTCTCTGTGTCATGGGAGCAAAGCATTCTTACAGAGCCAGCACCACTCGCTGGGAGGCTTGGAAAATCCATAGCTAAACAAGTCCTGCTCATGTGAGAGACTCGAGAGATTTCTGTTGTTTATATGTAAAACCCCAACTGGAACGTGCTGTCTGGTTTCTAAGTGTGGCAGTTCTTCAGCCACAGCTCGCCCTGCCCCTGGCCCTGGTTCCTGTCGCTAGCCATGCGTCTTCGTGTCCTGGGCCCATATCTCCTCTCTGTGTCCAGGTCCCCAGATAGGGCACGAATGGCCTCAGACTTTTCCACTCTTGCTCCCTCCTCTTGCTCTGACCTCTATGTATTGCAGTTCTGCTTTAAGTGGCAACATCTGAACTGCTTTCACAGTGTTACTAGAGATACATTATTTTGTATTTTGTGTTTGTTTGTTTGTTTATTTTGAGACAGGGTCTCACTCTATAATTGAGGCTGCCCTTGAACTCACTATGCAGCCCAGGATGGCCTCGAACTCATGGAGATCCTCCTGTCTCAGCCTCCAGAGGTACATTATTCTGTAAGGCTTGAGTTTCTAACAAACTCAACCATGTCAAGTTTAGTTACACGTGTTAGTAATGTCTAAGTTTAAATTTGTAGTATGTATATATTGATTTATTCCAACTTTAATTGAATAAAGCATTTGCCTATTTGGACTACAAAAAAAAAGACACATTACATTTTTTTTGGACCAAGTATCAAACTCAAGACCTTACACTTGCAAGGCAGGCATGGTGCCACTGAACTAAATGCCCAGGCCTGGACACATTATTTCTAATTGGCACTCTTTCCTTCTGATGTCTTTGAGCTCACACATAAATGTGTGCCTCCCCTGGGCAGCAGGATGCCATTCTCTCCTATGGTCCCCGTGTCGCAGCCTCTTCCCACTCCCCAGGCATCTCTGCATCTGATGCAGCTCCTGATAGGGGAACCTGCTCCTGATGGAGAAGACTTAACTGCAGTGTAGTGTGAGAAGAGGCTGTGGACACCCTCTGAGACTAAATTCTTGATCTCCAAAGCAGAGCTCTGACCACGTCACTGGTCATGCTGGGAGTGCACAAGGGAATTGAGTCACAGTCATTGCAGAGGTGGTCACGGGGCTGAGATTTCTCTCCGGTCCAACTCTGAAAGCACATGAAAATTTTTCTAAGACTCTGTGTGTCAGGTACTTGACTTAAAAATGAAGAACAAGCTTGCCCCCAAAAAGAACACAGCTTACTTCTCTAAAAATCACTATAGTTCACTACAAACCAGCTATTGTCTGCTCAAATAACCACAGAGTACAGGTAATTATAAAAAAGATCTTCTCATCATTACACTTTTTTAAAAAGTGCTAGTTGTTTATATGCTATGACTTTCAGGTCTAGACTGTTAATAAACCCATTCAAAATTGATACCCAAATTCCAAGCTATATTTTGGTTTTGTTGTATTATATTCTAATTTTATTTATGTATTTTTATTTTTGGTCCCAGGGATTGAACTCAGGACCTTTCACTTCCAAGGCAGGCACAGCACCATTGAGCTAAATGCTCGGCCCTCTAATTTTAAATATAAGTTGTTACTGTAATAGTTCTGAGACTAAAATACTTTTTGAGTACTACAACAATACACAAAGAGGAACAGTCAATGTTTACCTGGCTTTCACTGAGTTCATCAAATATGTACTGAGCACTGCTGTAAGCCAGGAATGATTCCCAGCTCTGAGGATGCTGGAAGTGACCAACAGCATCAACTGCCCCTGATCTCCATGGAGGCCCTATTCTTATGACCTCCGGACCCTCCAGTCTCATCTCTAATGCATGATTGTGCATACGATGTAAACAGAGGGGCCCAAGGATGAGGGCTCATGCTGGCAAAATCTTTCCCTCGTGTTCATGGCTAACAAAAGCCAACTAACCCTTCCTAACTGCACACTCTGCATCAGGCAATGTTCTCAACACTTGACACATCTTATGTCAGATAAATTCACAACAAATGGATGAGATAGGTAGCATTGTTTTCTCCATTGTACAAATAAGGAGCAAGACTCAGAGATTAAGGAAGCTGCCTGTGGTCACAGATATTAAACACTGAGCTCACGGAGCCTGGCTCTGCAGCCTGTGCTGATAAACGGTGCTGCTCAGCCTCTCAAAATGTCTTTGATCTTCAATGTTGACCCACTTTGGTCTCCTTCAGCTTGCAGAACTCTCGTCTCTGACATCCCATGCCTTTAGTGGCTTGCTGATATGGAATATGGAAACCATCCCATTACACTGACAGTGGAAGATGGGGACTTTTGCAATTGTAGATACAGATTTCTCTGAATCAGCTCAATTCTACACTAGCCACTAGGCTAGGGTTGAGGAGACAGCAGTCCACAAGATGGTCCCAAGGGCTGTTCAGTGGGCCAGTAACACACCTGCCCCATGGCAGTCACAGGACTGATGCGTGCTATGGGAGCAACCACAAGAGACCTCCCCAGCCTCCCAGGAGGGAGAGCTCCCCATGAGACTGAACAGGAATCCGGACAGGAGAGCTAGCGGACAGGGCAAAAAATAGTGCCCTAGGCATCTGTACCAACTTCATAGAATCCCAGGGCTAGTGATAACTTTTGCCAATGTTATGGAATGGAGCAGAGTCAGTCAAGTGGGTTAGATAGTTCCATAGTATGGACTTGTCTTTAAAGACAGGAGGAACCAAAGTTCATGGCAAATCACCTCAGTTTTCTCTCTGAAAAGTGCAGCTAAGTAATCTACTTAGATGGAAAGGATTCTTCAAATGAATGCAGGAAAGTGTTGGAGGAGATTTGAAGAGATAGCAAAGATTACGAAGACTGAGAGGAGAGTGGCATGAGGACAAACAAAAGAACTGGTGAACAGGGTTAAGTCAGCTAAAGGTAAAGACTGTACATGGTATCAACTCATGCCGAGGCGTGGTTGTGACAGGTCCCTAAATCCTATGGCACCTACATTTTAGAGCACTTATGCTACCAAGCAGCAACCTGACAGAATCACTGTGTGTTAGGTGTCCTGGAAGAATGTGTTTTCAAGTGGTTCTGCCCATGTTCCTGGGTGTGAAATGGGGTCGGTGTGTACCTCGATCCTGAGCCCTGGGGAGGAAACCTGCCTGGCAGACTAACGTCCAAGTGACCTGGGGTTGGGAGGTGGCCCCAGGATCCAAAAAGTAAGATGACCCCAAGAGGCACAGAGGCATTCGTTTGCTTTTAGCAGCAATTTACTGAATGGCAAAGAGAGGCCTAAGAAAACCCTGTCCGATAGCAAAATGTCAAGATGCACCTTAATAGGGAGGCTGCCTTCTCCTCTAGTGATTGGATTCTGGGTAGAAGTTTTCATGTTGCAAAGGTTCAAATTATCAAAAAGGTCTGCTGCCTGCCTCACAAGCACCAGGTCCTGAGTTTGATTCCTGGTACCTCCCCGCCAAAAAAATTATCAAAAAGGGCCAGGGATTTAGCTCAGTGGTTTTCCTGCCTACTACGCAAGCACAAGGACCTAAGTTTGATCCCCAGTACCAAAAAAAAAAAAAAATTATCAAACAGAATGAGTAATGTGAGACTGAATCATCTTCTATGGTTGAGAGACAGAAAGAGAGCAAGATCCATTTAACAACCACCTGGATCACATATGGAACATTTCTAAAGAGCTCTGTGGTTACTCCTTCCACTAATTAATACCCGGCCTAACTCAGAGCTGAACAATATTTTGCCTGGTTTGCTTTCTCCCGAACTTCCTGTAAGTGGACTCTCAAAGTCAGTGCCCTTTCCTGTCTAACTTCTGCTCAACATAACGCTGTGAGTGCGCTGTTCTTCCTCGTCATCACGGGTACTGTTCCATGCACAGGCAGACAGAGTCTGCTTACCCATTCTGCTGCTCGTCGCCCAGGCTCAGACTGTCATGCCTTGGGCTGGCAGGCTTTCTGCACGTGAACATTTTCATTTCTCTAGGTCCCCTCCCCAGGGCAGAAGCCTGGGTCACAAGGTGTTTCCTGTCACCAGACCTTGGCAGCTCTCCCAAACATGCTTTCTGATGTCTCTGCTTCTCTCTTCCCATTTCCCTCCCTTGCCACCTGAAGGACCTCGCTTGCCTGCTTTCCTCTCCAGGCTGCTTGCTGACTGCATTTTCCTCCCCACAGGAGCGGAAGGGTTGGCCACCCCTCCTGGACGTGCACAGCACAATGCCAACCCTACGGACTGTCAGATCTTCACCCTCACCCCGCCACCCGCCACAAGAAGCCCGGTGACCCGGCCCCAGCCCATCACGAGGACACCCAGACACCCCTTGCTCTTCTTCCCACAGTGGCCCAGGGTCCCCCCCAGATTCCCAGGCAGACCTTTCTTCCCTCCAGGTTGCGGCCGCCGCTTCCCATGGCAGCCGTGGTTCTGGCCACACCGCTGCCTGGCCCCGGGGCGATGTTTCCTGGGGACAGAGCTCCTCGGGGGAAGCTCGTCGTCGGAGGAGAGCAGGAAGAAGAGAAGCCTGAGCTTGAGGAGCAGGGGGAGACCTTGCCTCTGAGGAGGCCCAGAAAGATTCCATGTCCTCCTCCCAGCTAGAGTTGCAGGACGAGAACATGAAGCAACTCAATGGCCACGGCTAGAGATCATTCTCCACATCAGCCGCAAAGACAACAGATAATAGGTGATTTCTGTTTGCAAAATAGGGCAGTAACTATGTTATTCTTATCCCACAGAGGACTAATGCAAATAAAATCCTAAAATGGGCTGTTCCAATAATTCCTATCCACACTGAGAGCCTGAAGAATCAGCCCTCTCTTCTACATTACAGAGGAGAGCATTTAAAGAGAGATCGCTGTGATTAATGAAGACATTAATGACACTCCTTTTTATATTCTGTAGGAAACTTACTGAGCAAAGTGAATTTACAAGTTTAAAAGAAATTATAAACATTAAAGCAAAAAAGTGTGAGGAATCTGACTATAGATATATTTTTACTTTTTTGTTTTCATAATTATAAACTGAATAATCTAACAAATAATTATTTTTAACTATAATAACCAAATTAAATGTTAACTTTTTAAGCAAGTGTTGTGACCAGCTTGATAAGTTCCTCTATATTGTGGTCATATAGATGTGAGTTAAAATGAAAACGTCCCCTAAACTTTCAGCACAGATCCACACACCCAAGCTTAACTGAAAAGCTATGCGCGTGTCCTGTGAGCTTTGGGACTCTATGGATAAAGGTCACTCGACTACAGGGGAGGTACGTTCTCAGGGTACAGTGTGAGGAATGGGTCCCACGGGCTGCACTCATGGCTTGGTAGTTCCCTGTGCTCCTCCTGCCCAAGCTCAGGACTTGAACTTGGGCTCTACTTCTGCACCCAAGTGGTCAGTGACTTCCACTTGGTCCTGTCAAGAATGATGTGCAAGGGCCAGGGATTTAGCTCAGTGGTTTTAGCGCCTGCTGCGCAAGCACAAGGATTCCAGTTTGATCCCCAGTACCAAAAAAATAATAATAATAATGATGTGCAAAGGTTGCTGTTACTGCTGCTACAAAGACAATCAATAATCAATCAAAAACACTAAGATACAAATATGGTGCGGGGCACCTGGGAGGAGAGAGGTATGAGATCGTTGTGCTGGGCTTCCTTGCTCCATTAAGTAAGTGATGCAGCAAGGGAAAAAATTCATTTCTTCACTCACTTAACACTATTCATTATTAGAACCAATATTTGCTTTAAATTAATAGGTTTACATAAAAATTTATTTGAAATCATCATCAAAAAACTGTATTTTGAAATAAAGCTTACTTGGTCTTTGATTGCTCAGAACATGCCAAAAATGGGCCATTGTGTTAGTTACCTTTTTTGTTGTTTTGACAAAATCCCTGAGAATAACACCCAAAAGGAGGTGAGACTTTGGCTCACAGTTCCTGAGGTTCAGTCCATGGTCCACTGGTTCCACTGCTGTGGCTTGAGGGGAGCTGGAGCATCATGGTGGAAGGTGTGGATGGGGAGAGCTGCTCACTAGGAAAGAGAGGAAAAGAGCCCTAGAGGAAAGGATCACTCAAGGCTACCACGGCCCCATGACCCACTCCCTTCAGCTGTCCCCATCTCCTGTGTACATCAGCCCCCAACGCCACCATCAGATCATAGCCCATCCACCTGAGGAGGTCAGAGCCTCCTGGCACAATCAGCTCCCCCAAAGCCCATTAGCCAGCATCCAGCCTTTAGCTCATGAGATTTGGGGGACACTTCAAGTCCAAGCCATGGCAGCCATGTTTGCACAAATGTGAGGAAACAGGGTTTGCTTGTGAACCCCTTTTCTCTCTGCCCCTGCTCCTTATCCTGTCATATTTGCCCACATCTATGTCCTAGGGCCTCACAGTGCCCTGGCTGCCCAGAACCAACTGGGTTCAGCTGGGCGTTCTTGCCCCAAACATTAGGATTTTTGCAATTTTTTTGTCTTTTTGGAGACTGGGTTTCACTATGTAGTCCAGGCTGTCCTTGAACTCACAGCAGTCCTCCTGCCTCAGCCTCCCAAGTGCTAGGATTACAGGTGACACCTGGCTTCAAGGACTTTTGCAAATAAATTTTTCGAAATTCTGAACTCCAGCCCCTTAGGAGGCGATGCTGAGTGATGAGTAAACCTCAAGCAGATAGGACCCGTGAATGATCCGCCGCTGAATGAGCTACAAAGCAGGCCTCTCTCCAGGTCACCAGCAAAGTGTGTTCTCCATGACTTTCAGGAAAATCACATCGTGTCTCACACTACAGCAGGCACAGGGTTCCCTACATGATGAGCAACCCACACTGGCAATTAAAAGTATGAACCTCAAGGCCAGGGATCTAGCTCAGTGGTGCCACGACCTGCCTCAAAAGAGCCTGAGTTCAATCCCTGGCACCAAAAAATAATAAAATAAAATAAAAGTATGAATCTCTTTGACTAAGAAGGTACCTTATATCATTCCTTTGGGTCAATAAATTTTGCTTTTAAAATACAGTGATCCCCAGCGGGTTTTCTGAGTAGGGGGATGGTCTTCAGTTATAAATAGCTCAAAGTGAATTCATTTCTCAAACTTGTTCCTTTTAATGTGTAGCTGCTCTGAAGCAATGGAGAGAGCTGGCTGGAAAGTGCGGTTACTAAGCATCTACTGACCTGAGGCAGGACTAAGATATGAAGTCTAAAGCTCTAATCATACTCCACTCATGTACCCTAAGGCCACTCATCAAATAAACCCAACCTGAGGAGCATTTTCAAAATCAAATGCCATGAAAGACAAAAGTTAAAGGAAATGACAGTGGCATGACAAGTAAATGTAATTTGAGAGCCTTGTTCAGGCCCTGGAGCTGGGAAGGGAGAGGAGATGAGTGGAAAGGAGTTATCTGGACAACAACCAAATCTGATCATTCTAAACAGAGCATCCTGCTCTTAGGAAATATGTGCTGAGGCATTTGAGGGTGAAGGAGTACCATTTCTGCAATTAGGTCTCAAATTATTCAGGAAAATGTATAGGACGACAATGACAGACAATGTGGTAAAATGTTTTTACATTTGACATTCCTGAAGAAAGGATCTGAGAGTTCTTTTCTTGTAACTCTTCTATAGTTCGACATGATTTTAAAATGATGGCTTAAAAATCATTACTAAAACCAATACAATAATTAAATCTTAAATGTATCCATGGAGATAAGTTAAAAATAGTCTCATTCCCACACCTCTACTATCAACCTTTTAATGACTCACATTGGTTTTAAGAGTCATGGGGGATCTAGACTGTGTGAGCTGGGACTCAGATGATCACCAATATTTGGAGGACAGTAGCTGTGATGGTTAGGGTACAGTGTCAACTTGCAAGGCTTGGGGGCCACCCGGGGGATTGGTACCTCTGGGTGCATCTCGGTGGGTCATGGAGGCGTGGCCTTGGGGTCTCTATCTGGTCCCTCTGTGGGACCGCATAACTCTGTAATCATAAAAGCTCCCCCAGCCCCAACATAGTGACTGATTGTGAGTTAATGGTTAAAATGTGCTTGTTAGTTCTGGGACACTAGATAAAATCTGTAACAAATACAGAGTTCCTAAGTGATTTACCCAACTCCTTGTTTGTCCAAAACCGATGTTCCCGATGCAGCTATCTATAAGACAATCTGCAAACATCTTTTGACCATCAACATTTTTTTTCTCTTTTCTGTAAGTTCTGCTTGCTAACTTCCCCACAACTCCCTATAAAAACAGCCTCGGACTCTGAGCCAGTTGCCTCTCTAAGCTACTTGGCTTTGGGAGTGCCACCTGGCCAGACTAATAAAGGTCTGTTTTACTTTCCAACTTATCTGGTGTGTTCCTTCCCAGGTGTTCTTCACTGTAGTCAGCTCCTCGGAGCGTTTGGTAAGGCCCTTGGTCTTACATTTTGGAGGCCCCAGCGAGATCCCCAGGTAGGAACCCTGATTCGGCCGAGACTCCATGGCGGGATCCAGCAGGAGGCTCTTGGGCACAGACCTCAGAAAACCTCCGGAGGTAAGCTCTTTGCCGTTTGCAACTGTTTGTTAAGTCAGGAGTGGGGTGGCTGACAGGCCGGTAAGCCTCCCCTGATCCCAAAGTTCCAGATGAGGAACAAGGGGAGATTTAGTTTCACTTCTGTTGTGGCACCCGTTCATCTTGTCATTCGTACGTTAGTGTCCTGTCCGTTGTGTGTTTAATTTTATATTTCTTTCCAAACCATCAAGGGCAGAGATGGGAGGATCCTGGTCCAAAAATACCCTGTTGGATTGTTTTCTCACTAATTTTAAATTGGCCTTTTCCCCCGAACAGGAGGATGAATATGGGGTTAAATTCTCTCCTGGAAAACTTCGCTCCCTGTGTCAATTGGAATGGCCAGCCTTTGGAGTTGGATGGCCAGCTGAGGGCTCTTTTGAGCTGAGCCTCTGTCGGGCTGTGTGGGGAAAAGTCAACAGTCTCTGCAGCCACCCTGACCAGTTTCCTTATATAAATATCTGGGTCCAGGCTTGTGAAGAGCCTCTGGCATGGCTGCAGCATTGTTCCCTGCGAGCAGACACTTGCATTCTGGTTATGGCTCCAAGGGAACCCCAAGGGTCCAAAACCCGGGCTCCCAGGCCAGTGCTCTCACAAGATCCTGATCCCTTAGACCCCTTAATAAGACTTCCACCCTATGTGGAGCCATCCACCTCCTCTGATAAAGCCGGCCCCAGATCTCGAAACCCTTTCTACCCTCCTCTTCTTGAAGAGGAAAAATCTCTGGATTCTGTAACCTCTCCCTCCCACACGTGAACAGGGGCTGCTTATGGTCTCAGTGAAGCTCCCTCTGAGGGGACTGGTTCAGTTCCTCTTTTGCCTCTTCGGGAAACAGAACAGGGTGACTATGTCCATATCCCTTTTTCTACCAGTGACTTATACAATTGGAAACATCAAAATCCCCCTTTTTCAGAAAAAACCCAGGCTTTGATCTCCCTCCTAGAATCTGTTTTTCATACCCATGATCCTACCTGGGATGATTGTCAACAACTCCTCCAAGCCCTTTTTACCTCTGAGGAAAGAGAAAGAATTCAAGGGCAAGCCATAAAATCAGTACTGGGAGGAACAGAGGGCCCACTCGATGAGCAATAACGAGCCCGTATTGAGGCGCAACTTGCATCCATCCATTGCCAGTGGCAAGTTAATTCCTGGGGTGGGAGAGAAGCTCTCCAAAACTACCGTCAGCATCTGCTGGCCGGCTTGAGGGGAGCCTCTCAAAAGCCTACCGATTTGAGCAAGGTAAGTAAGGTCCTCCAAGGACCTGAGGAATCCCCTTCTGCCTTTCTGGAGCGTCTGTTGGAAGCATACTGTACGTATACTCCAATTGACCCAGATGCCCCTGCAAACCGACAGGCAATTAAT